AAATTTGATTATGATCTAGTTTTGAGAGACGTTTCTTCAAAAGAAAGTTTTGGAAAACACGACTTATTCCGATTTTTGACGTTTTAATGACGTTTTAAAACGTCACCCGTCCCCAAAGGGTTAAATAACACCGCTATAACCTTATTGATTAAAATGATTGTTGTTTACCATAGCGAGTAGTAATAGGTAAAATACAGACGTAGATGCAATATGGCTTAAACTAGTATTTATAAAAAAGACAGAGAGAGATGGACAGACACAGAAAAGCATTTCTTAAGGTAATGAAGAGGTCGGCATAGTATAACTGATGAACAATGAACCAATAGCTAACAGAGGCCAAATACTATTTGTTGTTGTTGCATAATATCCTGTGCAATTTATTCAAATAAAAAAGACTCTTAGCCTATGTCTAATTAAAAACCTAAGCTCTTTAAATTCGCTTAATCTCTCACAAACTTGCATCCGATCGTGTCAGCATTTTTCTAGTATAAAAGTGTCGTCATTTTTTTTAGTTGTAGAAAAACACATGCTAGACACATTAAAATATTTGTGTTTTCCAGGACACATTGAAGGCACTTGTAAGACGCATTATATGGCCGACACATCGTACAACCCACGTGGTATTTCTGCAGTCGAAATCTATAAAAATCTTTGCGATTCTGCAAAGATTTTTGCATTGGGAAGACACATTTCTTTTTAGAATGCAAGCATTAAAACTAAATAGTTTTTGTGTTTCAATAGAAGTTATATACACCCATGCAAAAACGACCCAACTTTTTGGGTGATTTATCTAGATTCAGCTCCACGTACATCTAGATAAATGATCCAAAAAATTGGGTCGTTTTTGCATGGGCAAGTTAGAATATGCACCACCAGTTTTTAACTGCTGTATGGGCATGCGGGAAAATTGTTACATATCGGTTATCAAGATTCGTTCATAGTTGCAGAACGTCTCATTTTGTAGAAAAATGTTTGCTCTATCAAATGCGTTTGTTAAAAGAATTCCAAGGCTCCTTCTAAGAAAACTTAAAACATTCGAAAATGCACCAAATCACGAATACAACTGTTCGAACAGTTTTTTTTCGTGATTTCATGTATTTTCGAGTATGCTGAGCTTTGTTAGAAGGGTACTTCCGCACAGGTCCGCCCAGTATTACATGAGCTGAAAGCCGGGAAGGTTTGACTACATGGACAGTCGTACTAAAGGTATGTAAAGACCCCCAGTTCAGCGGCGTAACCAGGATTTTTAGTCCAATGGGCAAACTTCTGTTGTATCGGAAAAAAACGATGGGCAAAATGAGCAAGGTTTTTGTCGATGGGCCATAAGATTTTTGGTCTAAAAAGAACACAAAAAAATGAAATGAGATTCTTTTAATTTTTGAATTAGATTCTAATTCAAAAATAAACAAACAATTCTGTCTATAGGCACTCTTACATATATCTTTCTAAGGATTATAGAAAAAAAACCCGCATGGGTATATCTGCTAAGTAAAATTTCAATGGGCAAAAACTTACTAATAAAAATTGCAATGGGCAAATCTCCAAACGAAATGGGCAATTGCCCATTTGCCCCTCCCCTGGATACGCCGCTGCCCCAGTTACCCCATGGAAAAATTATTCCGAACACGGTTTTTCCTCGGCCATAAGTTCTGAATTGAAGCGTTTTTAGGGGTACCGGAACAGCGAAATCTGACCTTATCTAATACTAACAAGTGCTCTCATATTGCTAACTGGAAAGAGCATACAAAGTTGCATATTTCTATCCGCAAATGAGATTTTCTCCTCTGACATTCGGAAAGAATTTTTGACTGGAGGACCTTACCTGCATTAGCAGATATCACTCGTTTTATAGCGTGTTGGATGAGCTTAAAATACGAGCTAACAAAACTTAACTTTATTTATATTCATATAAAAGCGGTCTCCAAGTTTGTTCGTATGGCGCAACAATGAAGTCTCTAGCGCTTTTTACTCCTTCATGGTAAGCGTAGCCTGGAGACCTACCTTGGCCAGTCTTGACCTCCTCCCTCGAAAACTATACATCAGTTCTTCGAGATCTTGTTAGCCCGCATCCTACTCGACTAGTGCTATAAAACGTGCAAGGTATTGACTTTGGCCAGGTAGTTTTTCTTGTGGCGGTTTTCTAGAAATCCCCTCAAAATCCTCGGTTGCTCATAAATATTGAATCCAAACTAACCTGAAATTCGGATTCAATATGTCATTTTATGGCTAATTTAGTATTCCTGTTAAATTTAGTATTTCCTGTTTCTGGCCTTAGGGAGATGATAGAATTTTGAGGAGGGACAAAAAGCGCACAATGTAATATAAAGCAAAAAAGTTTTCTGGATATCTTACGAAGATCCCAAGGGCACTGGAAGTATTTATAATCGAATCGCTATGATAGACTATCTATGTTCTGTTCTGTAAGTTTTATTAGCCGTAGACGACCATTTTGTGTTATTGCAAATAACTGATTTCCCGCGACATCTATGCACGGACTGCAGAAAATCTATGCTCAGTTTTTTTCTCTCTTGATCAGTAGATATTTCAGATCATCAATATCATCAATATTTTCTTTCAGGTGCTTAAAAAACCTTTTCTATTTTTCACCGTTATGATTGGCGCATCCATGAAATATCTAACAGCTATTTTTTTTGTATCCTGCGTCCAGACACACACATAACACCGATACGAATGCAGCTAAAAAACACAATCATTTTGAAAGACCCCAGATAGTGCCGTAATTAAGCCCTGGCACCGATGAAAAGGGAAATCTTGATTGTAGAAAAAACTTCATACTACCTTTTATGACTCGAAAAATACATAGGGCGCCACCTAGGCACCCACCATTTCCTGGTTACGCCACTAACCCCAGACTATACAAACGTATAGAACGGAGAGTAGCAGATCAAAACACATCTCGCTTAACTGGATGTGCCTAGATAAGAAGCCATTTGCTTTCAAAGCCCTATTTTATCGGCATTTTGCATTTGTATTCTTCTGTTTTTTAAGATCGCTTGTTTTTTACTCAAACAAATCATGTTGCGTTCAATTACACCCGCTAATCGCACTTTGTTTAAATGTGCACTTCGCTCTGTATTAGCCATTCCACGGTAAGTTTTCTTTTTCTACTCTTTTCGAAGTTTGATCATGTTTTACTTTTAGTGCGGAAGCATCGGGAAATACACCAGAAGACGGCTCCGTTCGGTAATAAGTACTATGAAGTGCACCCGTTAAATATCCGCTGTTGTTATTCATGTTCTTTCATTTTTCAGTGCTGGTGGTGGTTCATTTGCCGCGCGAGAACAAGCCATGGAAGCGCAATGGGCACGAAAAGAGGTTAGAGCACGCATTTATTTCCCATCGAACTTACTTTCAATCGATTTTTGTGTACATATTTCAGGATGCACGGCAAGTGGAAGCTTATAAGCTTCATCTAAAAAAAGTACGAGAACACAAAGAGGCATTGAAAAGAACAGTGGTATGTGACACTTTATGTTAAACAGTTCAGACTAAGAAATGAATATTTTTTTTTCTTTATTTAGGAAAGTTTGGAAAGAGATGAACAAGAAACGGAAGATTTAATAAAGCAGAGTAACACAGATGGTCAAGATGGTGATAAAAGATCAAGTAATCAGTGGAACAAAAATGAACAAGAAAAAGGTAGACAATATCAATCATCGGACAAAAATAAAAGAAAACATTAACAAACTTTATTAAAACGAAATTTCAAAATTTATCGATTATAAATACAATTTATATTCAACTCAGCGGTTTTTTTATGAACAGAAAGCATGTGGCTTTTTCAAACCAGTTTTTTTTCCTGCAATCCTCCCATTACTCATTAATGTTTTTTTTGCTAGTAAGCATGATATTGTATGAATGTATGATGGTTGATTTCTTAGCGTTTTTTCGTAAATAAAATAGAGGAAAAAAGACGTTGTAGTGATTGTTAACTCATCGATATGATGTGAGAAGTTAACTATTGATAGATATAGGTATACTAGAGCAAAGATAAAGAGTAAGAATGTTTACTTTCATTTACATGACTATACTCCAATCATTTCCAGTTATATTGACTTGGATCTTAATCTCGTAGGATTTTGTATCAGACGAAAAACCCATGAGATACTGAATATATTTTAGCAAATATTTTTATTGAAATTTTTTAGTAATTTTTGCATTTAAAAATGAGATCTGTTTGTTGGACCATCCTCTCTTTTTCAGTCACTTGAATTAGCTTCCGTTCGCGGTCTCTACCAATACTAAATGACACATTTCTTCTGTTCTTTTTTTGTTTGTTTTCAGACTAAATAATGACTATGCAGCAACCATCTCTAGCAACCCAAGATGTACATTTAATGATACGAAGAGCCAAAGTAACAATATTTACTGATGTCGCTGAAACGAGCACTGTACTCGAAGTGAAAAAAGTTATTGCTACTATACTTAAAATAGATCCACTAGACGTTCATTTAGTCTATAATGATCAACCGATGGAAGATATCAAACGACTTCATGAATGTGGAATATCAAGTAAAGATGCTCGACCTCAAACTCCTGCACAAATTGCATTATCAATAAGAAACCCCGATTCGAATGAGTTCGATAAAGATGATATTATCCCATATTCAAGTAATACATCAGATAATACTACACAATCGTCAATGATTCAACAGCAAGATTCAAGATGATAAACAAATGCATTAGTCACTGATCGAAATTTCTCTTTTCATATTTGTTTTCTAAATGATCAGGTCATTTTTTTAAGTGTATATTATTGTCAAATTGTACTTTATTTAACGTTTTGCATCGAATTATTGTGTATCGATAGGAAAAATATTCAGGTAACACAATGCGAAAACAACTTAAAGCTGGATTAAAAACAATTTGCTCTTTCCAAATGTTCCAGGCATGCACGTGGAGTTTTTCAGGTTCCGTTTTAGGACTCCTAAATCACTCTCATCGATCGACAGCCGATCAAATATGTAAGCATTCTAAGCTAATTTTTATTGTTGGTGCTATTGTTTTCTTCTAAGTCGTAATCTTTTTTGGAGTCAAGGTTTTTCTTGGTCTTCGGTCTTTCAGCAACGCAGTTTGCTTCTCTTTTGGCAAACATATCTTCGTTGTTTCTCCTGGCTCGTTTGATGAGGACACTGTTGGTGTCGTTGGTGCTCTTCTTTCTTGCGATTGTGACTGTCCGTCATCATAAATACTTGAATGCGATTCTGTGATGAGCGTTCTGTTTG